TCTGTAGCACTGTGTATGCATAATTTTTCCAGGGCCTGGAAAGGAAAACTTTCAGGCAAAATCACCGCAGTCTTGTCCCAGCAATTTATACGTCGACATGGGCTACAAGGCCAATCCGAAGCGTTCTTCACTGGCGCCATCTCTTCAGAAAAGAAGTCTACATAAACCAGAATCATTCGAGCAAGCGCCACTTGCACCGCTTGCACTTGATACTTTTGAAATCATGCAGGAATTTAAGTAAAAGTTTTACAGTAGGCTCCAAGCATTCAAAACGCAATTCGAAGATCAGTTCAAAGTTTCGCACCTGCTGAGGTACCTCAGACAGAAACTGTTAGGATACTAGCATAGCTAGGATTTTCGGAAAAAGACATTTTCAGTTTGAGCTGTTTCATGAATGGTAAGTGACAGTTAACTTTATTCAATAATATTTGCTAGAAATAAAACAAACAGAAGAAACTGTAAATGGAAGCTAAACTAACATTTGCCAAAAATCTTTATGGAGTCCTCAAGTAAATAAGAAACTTATTGTTATGCGCCAACACAGGTGAATTGGTTTCGCAGTCTGTCATGAAAAGGAAAAACTGTCTGTTAAAAATCTTTAATATGAGGAAAATTACTTTCCCAAGTTTCAAATTTGTGCTCTGCAGCCTCTGCTTACGGCGTAAGTAAATTCAGGCATCTCAAATGTCGTTTGGATGATAACGCTTCGCATTTTTTTATACTAGTTGTTTGAATGGTAATCTGATTGTGCCTTTTAGTCCTATTGTTAAAAAAATATTTGACTGTCAAATTTGCTCTACCATATTTTTGTAGCAATATTTTAGCCCTCGATCTCTTTAAAGGTTATTTTATAGTTTTAGGCCGAAAAGGATAAATGTGTAAAAACGTACTGATTACAAACATTTTTAAGCATTTTTGCGTATTTGTGCAAATGCAAAAAGTCTATCTACAAGAGGATGTCTGTATGTGTTGTGTATGTGTATCCTGTGTGTCTGCGTTTTGCCATTCAATTTGGACATAGTAACCAAAGAAACTAAGAAGTTTTAATTTTAGAGCATCTGCCCACCGTACGTGCGACTTTTCCGTTTCAAAATTGTCTTTCATTTACACTTGGATGCCATGTAAGTTTCGGATTTATGAGTACGCAAGGCAAATGTATAAATTTTTTGGAGGAAAAACGATTTCAGAGACCAGACAAGAGAGGAAACTGAAACTTCACAGCGGTGTTCTATGTGCTGGTGTTCAGCTTTAATGAACCCTAAGACAGATGTATGGACAGGCCAAATTTGAGACTGCGAAATCCCTGTCGGGCCAATTAGGGCCTTCTAACTTCAACAAGTTCTTAAAGTAATAAGTTGCTATTTTTCTATACTATCATACAATTCATTTACTAGCAACAGTGTTACTCAGCGTGTCGACTGCTTCAGTAAACGAAGACAGTTCCTCTTTTAAGCGGTCCAGTCCATACTTCAAATCATGTGCTTCCTTCACAACTTCCACAGATTCCGTATACGGATCATAGACCAGCGCAAACGGGCGTTTAAAGCTGCGCGCATACATTCTGAAAGTATTGAACAGCGTTAAAAATGTCCCCTTTAGACAAATTTTTGCTTTTCCCAGATTTCGACTTCCATTTGAGCAATGTTGTTGCACCATTATTTATCGATAAGCTTTTTAGTGGATAAATTACCTTAACATGTTCAAGGAGTGACATTCAGAACCAAGCGGTGATGCGCAACACGTGCTAATGCCAAATTCAGTTGGCAAAAGCCTTGCTAGTGCTTAAAAAGCGGAACTTCGATCTGGGAATCCTTGAGGAGACAAAACAAACGTCAGAATCGCAG